AAAAAAAAGAGGGAAATTAGGCCATTTTGAAAAATTTGGGGCTTTTATAAGAAAAGTGATAAGTTTTAGATCAGCCAAAGAATTTTAGTAAAATTTGTTGACCTTCAGGATCCCCACTGAGCGATATTTTAACATGAAATTTTGTATTTGTACAGATAAGTGCTTTAATAAGCAAATGTTTGTTTGAACTTTTGACATAAAATTTGCTGTGACTCTAGTGGTATACATAAGAAACAAGTTTAAATAAAACTCTAATCATGCATGCAACTTACCTCATCTATAGCTAAGATTTGGTTGATATATCCTACCACCTTTGGTATAAGTGGTCTAACTAAAGGCTAATAACAACAAGAAACATATCAAATATTAATTTATATTTAATCAGACAGTAAAAAAACCTAGTTGATTAAATATTTAAAGAACAGGAATTGAAATGACACACCTAATAGTGAAAGAAAAAGTTTCAGCAAACTTACAATTTCCTCAGTTCCAATGCATTCAATAAGGCAGGTAAGGGCTCTGACAAAAAAAATATATATTTGCTGATCATACAAGATAAACATTTACAAACCCAAACTAACATTATTAGGTCACAGTACATACCTTATTGTATAAAATGGCACTAGTTTACTCTGTTGATCTTCAAGTGTACTGGAGAAAAGCTGAAGCAGGGATGTGAAATGTGGTCTTAACTGTTCATTAGCAGATTCTGTGATGGAACTAAGAAGAAACATGCCCATCTGAAATGACATAAAATGGATTGAAAGGTCAAATTTGAGTTCTTTATCATACCAGATGAATGACAGAGATAGATTGAAGAAGTTTAGTCTTCAAGCTGACTAACCTCTCTTTGCTGTGGTTGCTCTGATTTGATGTGCTGCTGAAGGAAAACCAGCAGTTTTGGCCACTGATTGGCTGGCAGGTCATGTTTAGCTATCACACTCACCTACAGAAAGATCAATAACTTCAGGAACAGGGGACCAGACCATTGCCAAATCATAATGCAATACAACTGATAATGAAGTCTGGAAATAGTCTGTTACAATAAAGGACAAGAAGAAAGACTCACATAAGAGGGAGGTGGAGGAAGAGCAGCATGCAGAAAGTGGAAGATTCTAAGTCCTTCTTTTCTCTTTTGTAGCAGTATATTTAGTTGGTAAAAAGACATGAACTGCTCAACTCATTTCTGTTGTTATTAATAGTATTTGAATAACATACCACTTGTGCAGCTGAATTTCTCACAGTTGAGCTGCAAAATTATAAAGATCAACTATTAATGGAAGTTTCAAATTGTTGAAAAATGAACAAAAAGATTCTCATAAAAACATTGAATCACAAGAAACTGAAACTAATGAACAGATGTAATAATTCAGTTGCCTTAAACAGATTTGGAAAATAGAAAATTCAGACAAGACAGACAACAACAAATTAAAACATCCAAGTGCAACTAACATTAAAGGCAAGTAACCTACTCTGATTCTTGAAGCAACACCTGCAAGAGGGACTCTCTTAACCTAGGGCAAATAAAATACAGTTTAAAATGTTCTGATTTCTTGATTGTCAAAAAAATTGCACAAGCCCATTGGGCAAGTGCAATTTATAGTCTTTGAAAAATTTACAAGTGTTAACCTACACCAAATTGCACGAGTTGTTAATTGTCAATAATTTATATGAAAAAAGCTTCACAGACAATCAAGACTGACAAAATTTTGACAGTGCATGCTATTTGTGATATGCATTCGTGTTACAACTAAATGCACTTGTTTACATGAAAAATGCACTCATTTTCAGCCGATCAGATGCACGTAATTCTTTCATGTACATTATTACCAGTGAAAATCTTGCACAGTGCAATGCTGTAGAATTACTCTTATTAGTTCTGTGATTTTCCTGGAAAACTTACACCTCTCAAAAATTGTGATGAAAAAGAATATGTCAACACCTTTCCTAGAAAGAGAATGAGCTAATCACTTTGAGTGTCCCAAGCCCTTTACAGCTCTCATTCCAACTTTCTCCATTCCTCATCTTTGTGTATAGATACTCTTTCTAACTATTCTCCCTTTAAATTTCCAAACACCCTTTAAAACCTGAGCAAGACCAGCATCTACTTTCTCCTTACTGTGATACTGCTAAATTACAAATTTAGATAATGAGAATTTAGGAAATGATCTGCAACCTAAGAAGCCCTGATTCTTAAAAAAAATTATCCTTGTCAATACCAAAATAAATGTATAACAAAGAGCATGGAGAGTATGGATACAGCATTATCAGGCAGGAATGCAAATTTGCTTGAATCCAACTTCATTCTGTACTCACATGGCATGAACATCAGGGGAAAGTTTTGTCCACTGCTTCACAACCCGTCTTCTCAACAAAACTGCTGCATATTGTCTTATCTTTAAAAAAAGAAAAAACAAAAGCACAATAAACGATATTTAAGCTATTATTTCTATTTCATAGTGTATAAGAAGTGTTAAGCATATATTAGTAAAACTCAAGAACATCCTGTAAGGTCACTAAGCAACACTCGCTTTCGGAAAAATAGCAGTCGCTTAAAATACCTCATCCTCCGTCACTGCAGGAAAATAATTTTCCCTCCCCCCGTTAATTTTTCTCAAGTAACACGTGTTTACGTTGTGTTCGTTTTACAGTAAATTCGTTAACCATACTAGAATAACAAATCGATGCCTAAAAAAAACGTGAAACCTTTTCAGTCGTATTTCCTCTGACATTTGACCTTTTAACATAAATTGATGTTGGCTGAGACAGTTAGGAGCTTTACTCGACTTAATGGCATAAAGGTCCATTAACACCAATTAACACTGACAAGTTAGGTGATGAACGAGGAGGAAATAACGAATAAGACTTCGGAACAGTTTCTTTAATTAATTAAATTGAAACTCAAAAACTTTGCAGAACCTTTAAGTCTTACCTGAGGGTTTTGAGAGGAGCCTAAGACAGTAATGAGGGCTGGTACGACAGCAGGGTTCTTGAATGCTTCACGAAGTTGAGAAGTTGCCTTAAATAATGCAAGTAAACCACTCCTGTATTACATAAACAAATGATACATCAATTGGCCAGAGTTAGGAGGGATATATGTATTACCTGCCGTATCACTGTGTTGTCAGGAACAAGTAGTTTTTCAAGAATTTCTTCCAACTCCGCCATATTCTTCTTTACATTGCGTTGATCGACAAATAAGCCCGCGATACAACAAAACAAAATCGCGCGCGAAAGCAGTTTTCCGCGCAGATTCCGCACGCGTAAAACGTGTCTAAGCGTAAAAGTTGAATGAAGAAAAATTGAGCACAGAGTGAAAAAAAAAATACTGCTACTAATAAAAGTACCCTAAAATTTGGATTCAAGTGAAGCCAAGTAATGGAGTTACCCCAAAAAGAGTACCCGAAAGTGATTCAAGTGAACCTGGGCAATGGAAATCTCACTTTTTGCTGGTTGAATTTCTCTGTGATGACTCAAAAGTTGAGGATTATTTATAACCTAGTTAGAAAAAAATGACGAGTTAAAAAAAATAAACATCGTGATACATTCCGGTTCATCAGTCAAAGGTAATAAAAAGAAAAGAATGGAATTTCTGATGGCAAAGAAAAAAAAAAATCCTTCGAGCCGGATTCGAACCAGCGACCTAAGGATGACAACATCAACTCTACAGTCCTCCGCTCTACCAACTGAGCTATCGAAGGAGCCACGAAGAAGACATCGAAAAATAGTCTAACTATTTATACAATGTGTACGCTTACAAGAGGAAAGCTGAAACAATCGACAGAGAAATCGTCACATCACAAACCAAAACACCAGCGAACGAAATAAAATTTTCTTTAAATTGTTGGAAATTTTACTTTTCTTAACATTCTCTGCAATTTATAGTGTATTTTTGTTTTTTAGGGCCCTAAAAAAAATATGGTTTTTTTCCAAAGTAATGTTAAATTTTCTTTGACTTATTCCCATTCACTTTGTTTATCAATTCCTTCAATAGATCAGTTGACATTAAACGGTGGACCGCAGAGGAAAAGCTGCGATTCTAAGTGCGTTGATACGAATCAGAAATGAGAAAATTCTCAGGAGTTACCAAGCCTTCCTTTTTGTTTTGTCACTGTTGTTTTCTAAATCAAACCTTTCATCAATATACCTCCCGTATTTTCACACCCTTTAAAACACATCTTATGAAACCAGGCACAGTGAAAGTCTTCCTTTTTATCCAGTTAAAAATAAACTCCCTAATGCCTGGTGAAATGTTGATTTAACCGGTTCATTTGTTTTCTTCCCTATGGAGACTTTCACATACCTTACATATTTTTTCTTTGTAATAGTGTAAAATAAAAAGAATTGCAAAATAATTGTGAAATGCGTAAAATGAAAGGGGTTAGTGTTTAATCATTGTCTTGTCAGGGACCATAGATGACAAGAAACCCTTGACATCTTAGACGACTACTTACAGCCTAACTTAAGGTGGCTCTGAATGAGTTCATCACAACCAAATTATGAAGAAACCTCGAATTCTTCAGTAATAAGTACTAAGTAAAAGTACTAATTATACTGTAGTCAACTAGTATACAACCATCTAGGATGCTACCAATCCACTTGTTTTGGGCTCGCATAAAAAAGTTCAACTCTAAAGTTCTGAAGTGCAGGCCATTAAGAAGATATCAAATTTGTCAAAAAGACTAAAGTAGGCCAAACTGGCGAGCAAAGGACAGCAATAATTATGTTCAAAATGTCCTGTAACTTTTTAAAAGGGCAGATATAAGGTAAACATAGGTGTGGTGTCCTACCCAACCTTTTTTAAATAATATCTTCTGATTGTGTGGTCTATTTTTTTCAGTCTATATAGGGAATTGAAACTCAGTCAGTCGTAGGAGATAGTGCCCAACAGTTGGAAGATATTAAATGGCTGCTTACAGAGAGATCGTATAGGACATGCTAGATTATATGGATCTGTATGCTGAGAGAAAGAAAATAAACAACAGACATTTTGTTCTGGTTTGAAAAGTGGAGTTTTTATCTTTCAAGAAACAAGTGACATAAATTCACAATGAGAATACTTTTCTAAATATCCCTCATACAAGAGGCTTAGATACAGTAATTAGTTTGTTAAAGCAGCAATTTAAGGAGCCCTTGTGTAGTTTCACAGGAGATACGTTCTTTCAAGTGACATAATGCTATGGCATGCCATATAAAACAATGCAACTCCTGCTATTTTCTTTCACAAAACAATGCATAACAAATTTAATATATACATTTACATTCTGTTTTCAAAGCATTTTGAAACCAACAGGAATAAAAGAGTTTGTATTACATCAAACGAATGGCAGTTCTTCCAGTGACAATTAGGAAATCTTCATCTCGCAAGATCTTCAGTGCATCATCAAATTGTTCTCGGGATATTGGCTAAAAATTAAATACAAAGTAGAAATTAGAAGACTTAAGACTTGTGCACCTACTTAAATAATGGCACACAACTTAAAAACCTTTGGCAAAAAATATTGTGTTTACATTTATTAGAGACAATCAGCCATTTCATCCTTACCATACAAAAGGTTTAAGAAAGGAGTATCTAAAACAAGTAAAATTTTAGCATACAAAAATCTTGATTCAGTCTTGGCAGTTTGGACAACTGGTGTATTTGTAAGAGATCACACTAGACATCTCATTCAGTGCTGAATATTGTGACATCATCAGCTTTAGTGTAAAGCAATCTAAATTCGGTAGCACTTGAGTTATCTCAAATGCAACATACAAGTAGCTCTCAAAGAGAGAAAATGGCAATCTTTAGTGGTTACACATAAACTGCTTGCCATACCATTTTTACGATGTTAGTTGAAGAATTTGGTATTGGATCAATTAATGATCCCCTTGTTGACAATTTCTTCATTCTAATCACTAGTTTGCTTGATATGGTAAGGAGAAATTCTGTCTTGGTCACTCATGGGAGTTAAGGGGTTGAGAAAATTTTTCATCAACCATATTTTGCAGCCTGGTGCCACCCCTTGAGTTCAAACATCCCTACAGGCACTTCAAAATGAAGGAGGTAAGTTTCTTAAGAAACTATGGTAATGCATTGGTGGGTAGTATAACAAAAAAATTTGGTTTTATCAACTGAGTTGATAATGTAAATTGGCCACTATAATGAGTCTATAATAGTTTGTTTGTGCTTCTCTGAAATATTTCTTTGGTATTGTAGATACTCATTCATTTTGGGTTTCAGAGAGTAAAAATAGATCAACGCTGGCCACAATTCCTCACTCACCAAATCAGAAGCTTCCCTCAATTCCTCATAAGTCTGCTGATATTTGACCGTGGGTGTTTTGCCTTTGCTCTGTAACAATTCTTTCAGAGCCTTTGCAATTTCAAGGCGTCGTTTCCTGTCAGACACACTCAAGCCAGTTGTAAGAATGTTGACATCTATCAGCCCTGTCTTGGGGTCAGTGGCAGACTGTTTCAAAGCTTCACGGTGCAGTCTGAGGAAAACAATATCAAGATTTAGAATTGTCTTTCATTAAGCAAACTTTTTTCCCTTCAAAATCAGAGTAAAATATGTTTATGTTGGTATCTTAGACATTTAAGACTGATCCTACAGATGGGTTGTTAACAACTTTTTTTCCTGCTCAAAAAGTACCTTCTGGCTTCTTCCACATCAACATTTTCAACTTTGGATGAAAGCCTCATCCTGGCGTGAGCTTCAGCAAGGCGAATCAGTGACTCCAGCTGACGAGGATAAGCAGTTACTGCACCACGACTGCTACCAACCTGACGCATCTCTGTCAAAACAAAAACCCAACAAAAAAAAGCATGTTTGACTGTTAGAATCCTCCAGTTTTGCTACTTTTGCTATGGTTGCCTGTTTGCTGGATATTTTTAAAAGGATATTTTCTGATTGGTTGATTAAAATGCTTCTTGACTCAATGTTGTGAAAAACCAAAACAAAAACCAAAAGCAAAGCATATCAAAATGCCAACTTTTGAGAGGGAAGGGGTCAAGGAAAGAAGGAAAGGAAGGAAGAACTGAATTAGTAAATGGAGGGAAAAAGAAAGGAAGAAAATGAATGAATGAAAGAGTCAGAGAATGAGTAAGAATTTGGAACATTTTTACCTAAAGAACAAGATAATATTTTAGCAGTATATCAGACACCTTGAGCTAGCAAAGAAAGACTAAATTCTTCTGCTACAAGAACTACAGGGTTATTAACCAAAGTTCCTCACCCACATAAGCCTGGATGAGGTATTGAGCTGCTTCCTCACTCAGTTTAGGATTCACATAGGAACGAGCATATGCTATGTAGTCTTTAAGTATACTCATGTCCTATATTGCAGAATAAAAGAAAAAAAAATTTCAATAGTTGAAATAATGAAAATGTTTTGCAAGATGAATTTTACAAGCAATACAAGAATTACTATATTGACTTGTCCATTAAGCTGATAAATTAATCAACAAATTCTGACCAAATTTCATTATATTGTATACACATAACTTGTAGAGGCTGTTGAAGGTATCCACATTTTTCATAATATACATTGCAGAAAACAATAAGGGAGACAACTCTTATAAGTTTATTTCAATCCAGCTTACAAGGTATTCTTCCTCCTCCTCCTCCTGTGTCTGATGGTACAGGGACACCAGGTGAGTGGCCAGTCGACGATCATACAACTCATCTTGAGGATCAAGCATCAGGAAGATCAGATCAAATCTATTAATAAAAAAATTAAAATTATTATGTTTTAAAACTATATTTTACTAAAAATTTTCTTAATTTACACAGTAGATAAAATTAAAACAATAAAATTTGACCGTTGCTTGTTTTTAGCATTATTCATCTTATCAAAAAATCACCAAAACAATCATCCAATTGTTGTCAGCATTAAGGTCAGTGTTGAATTGCAGATTACTTTGTTTTCAAAATCTCTTCTTATGTACCAGTAATACTACCACAAATTGTCTCATAATCATCTTCCTTAATCCTTTCCACCCAAACATTAGAATTAATATTCTCCATACTGTTTTCAATACATTTTCTAGGATGATACCAAGAAGAAATTTTTTTAACAATCAAGACCCTTTTTAGTTGGTGATCATTTCCTTTATTCTTTTGACTTTCATTTGTGATTCAGGGGTGACATTGTGAGGAGAAATTAGATGCTAATCACTCTTAGGGGTCAAAGGAAAGTACCCCTCCTCCCTTAGAATTTCTGATGACCCCTCTTATGGTGGGTGCGGATGTTTTGTCACCACACAATCCACAAGTTTGAAAGCATGCATATTGAGGGTAAGATTTAAAATTTGTAACATATCTGCAATCTGCCGTTTTATACGGGTTCCAAGCCTTTTGATAGCTGTCCTACCTTGACAGGAGAGTATGAGGTAGCTGAATGTTTTCAACTGTTGTCATCTTGGGATCCCACTGTGATTTAACTGGATTAGCAGCAGCCAGGATTGATGTCCTTGCATTCAACTGACATATGATGCCAGCCTTAGCTATTGACAAAGTTTGTTGTTCCTTAAAGAAATGGATCAGAGTTGAAGCTTTTAGTTTTTCATTACAACTTCAAGAAAAGGAACAAGATAATTTCCACTCCAATTCCTTTAATTACACATTCAAATGTACATAAGTACAATTAGATATATTACAATTTTTTTCTGGTGTATACCTGGGTCAAAATCATCATCTTCACCCTCCATTCAATTTCACTACATAAAAATAAGTAGTCTGCAGCAACTTGAAAGTAAAGTCGGAGTATGGTTTCTCTAGTTTAACTTTATTTCTATAAAATCACTGTTAACCTCTTACCATGACTTCATGAAGGACAGCTCTGGTGCTGTCATTCATCTTGTCAAACTCATCAATACAGCAGATGCCATTGTCACTCAACACTAGAGCACCCCTAGAAATAAAAAGACAGTCACTCTAACTGAGCAGCAAGTTTAATAAATTCCATTAAATGCAACAACAATAGCATGACAAAAAAATTCCCTGCTGCTGCAAAATCATTCACTCTTGACCAAAAACAGAAGCAATAATTTGAAACAACTTTCAAATGGCCCCTTAACCCTTTACAACCCAAAATTAGTATTCATATGCTCCATACTCTTTTGTAAAAATTTCCTTCGGTACTGACAAGGAGAATTTATTAAAACAATTATGATCATTTCCTTTATTTTCACGGTCTTAGTGAATGATAAAGCAATATTACTGTAAGGAGAGATTAGATACTGGTCACTCTTAGGTTTAAAAGAGTCAGCCTGGCAAACAAGGAATTCCCATTTCCTTGTAAAATAAAGTGCAATAAGATAAAAAGCAATTTGACTTGATGCACGTACGTCTGTAGTACCAGTTGTCTTGTCTCTGGGTCTCTAGTGACATACGCAGTCAAACCCACAGCTGAAGAACCCTTCCCAGAAGTGTACTGACCACGAGGAACAAGGTTATGCACATACTGTAAACACAAAATGAAAATGTTTTGTTCACTGTTCCTTTTAACTACTTCCTTTTAACATCCTTCATCAGCAGTCTATTTAAAATGATTTCCACACCATCAGTGCCTGGAACTTAGAGCGCCAGTACCGGTCAGCGGTATCTGGGTTGAGCATGCCCTTTGGATGGCTTTCCTCCTCGTCGCGTCGGCCATATTGTTTGTTACTCGTTCGGAGTCTAGTTTCCCTGTTGCGATTAAAGCCTTTCATTATCTGGACGTGCCTTGGTTCATTGTGTTAACTCCCTTACTGGCGTGGTGGCAGTGTTCGGTTCTACCCAGGCCATATTTTCGCCGAAGAAGGCTATTTTTCGCCTCGTCCACGTGAGCCAAAACAGTGTATCCTTCGCCGTGTCAACACGTTCCAGAGCCCTAAACGTGAAATATGGCTGCAACACACCGTGCACCGAAGCAGTGGTGCCTCTCCAAAGTGGAATCTATCAATTCCTTTGAAAACTGGAAGCAAAACCTCATTTACACTCTTTCTTTGGACAGCAACTTCGCCCCCTTCCTCGCAGATGGATTCACATGGTTAAAAAAGACCAGGGGTCAGCCGCTTCGAGGTCTCCACAACGATGGCGAATCAGTGCCATTAGCTCGTCGCCTGACAGCCCGCCAAAAGGTTAACTTCCTTGAGCTGATGTTAGGACAGATCGCCAACTATTGTCCAATTATCTCTCGAAATACTCTGGTGAAAAACTCTACATCCCTCGAGTTCATCTGGCAAACCATCAGACAGCACTTTGGTTTCCAAGTCACCGGGGCTCAGTTCATTGACTTTTCCGAAATACACCTAGCTGCTGATGAGCGCCCCGAAGATCTGTACCAGCGCCTCACAACATTCGTAGAAGATTCATTGCTACGTGCCAACGGCTTAACCCACAATGGCCAAGCAGTGCAGGAGGATGAGGAATTAACCCCTACACTCGAAAACTTTTTGGTCCTCACTTGGTTACGCCTCATTCACCCCAGTCTCCCACGACTGGTTAAGCAGCGTTATGGTACAGAGTTGAGATCCCGTACTCTTGCCTCGATCAAACCTGAGATCTCGCAGGCCCTCAATTCCTTACTCGAGGAAATCCGCACGTCGGATGATGCCAGAATCCTGCGTGCTGCTGTTGCAGACAATTTTCGTCGCCCTCGTCAGAGTAACAGGGGTGTTCCTAGAGCCCGTCCCAGACAACCCCGCCAAGACAAGGTCTGTCCTCTATGTAAACAGGCTGGCCGTTCTATGACAAACCACTTCCTCAGTCAGTGTACCTTCCTCCCCGACAGTGACAGGCGTTTCATGGTGAAAGCACGACAGATCGCCGGCATCCTTGACAATGACCAAGAAACTGAGACCAGTCCTGATTCTGATTCACCAGACCCTGACACAACATTGCCAGGCCCGGACATGGTGGCCTACCGTGTGCAGACCCGCCAGTCCCCTTACATGGATGTCTTTCATGATCATCGAGTCGTGCGCGTCACCCTCGACAGCGGTGCAACTGGAAATATGATACGCCGTTCAACCGCGAAACACCTCGGCTGTCCGATAATCTCAAGTGCCCAGTCCGTCCAACAGGCTGATGGCTCGTCTCAGCTCCAGGTGATAGGAGAAATTCGTACCACCTTCACCCGGGACCACACAAACTTCGCGTTTGAAGGTCTCGTAGTTGAGAATCTTGATGTTGAGGTACTTGCCGGTACCCCCTTTATGGAGACGAATGACATCGCTGTCCGACCCGCTAAGAGAGAGGTACTACTAGGCAATGGCTCAGTCTACACGTATGGGTCCAAATCCCCACCCAACCCTCATGCAACCGCACGTAGAGCATTTGTCCTACGTGCCCCCGCTCCATCCCAGACAGTGTGGCCTGGAGAGTTCATGGAAGTACGTCTACCAGACGATGCACCTTCTGACTCGGAGTACGCACTAGAGCCTCGCATCGACGCACCCAGTGCACACAATCTGAAGCCATCCCAGTTGTGGCCACAACCTGGTGTCGTTTCCAGCGTTGCCCGAGCCATACGGATTCCTAACCTATCAAGCGTACCCCGCACTCTCAAGCGCCACGAACACTTCTGCCAAGTCATCCCTGTTTTTGAGCCCCCCGAAGTCCCATCATCACCCCCACCTACTGCTCAGCGCCCGTTGCCGCCCTCCAGTACACGTTACTCTGCGTCCGTTCAGGTTGATCCAGACAACACCCTTCCCCAAACCGTTCGTGCAGACTTCCAATCACTACTTACAGAGTACGACACTGTATTTGACCCGCAATTCCCCGGATACAATGGAGCCGCTGGCGCATACAAGGCCAAAGTCAACATGGGTCCTGTCGAACCTCCTCAGCGGAAGGGTCGCCTCCCCCAATACGCACGGGATAAGCTCATCGAGCTCCAGGAAAAGTTTGACGACCTAGAGAATCTTGGCGTCTTCCGCCGCCCCGAAGATGTGGGTATCACCATTGAATACCTCAATCCATCTTTCCTTGTAAAGAAGCCTAATGGTGGTTCCCGTCTCGTCACCGCCTTTTCTGATGTGGGCAGATACAGCAAACCACAACCATCCCTGCTACCCGATGTTGACTCCACATTACGGCTCATCGCCCAATGGTCACACATAATTGTCACTGACCTTACAAGTGCTTTCTACCAGATCCCTTTAGCCAAAGAGTCCATGAAGTACTGCGGTGTCGCCACCCCCTTTAAAGGCGTCCGGGTGTATGCCCGCTCCGCTATGGGAATGCCTGGCTCAGAGACTGCTCTAGAGGAGGTTATGTGCCGTGTTCTAGGCCCCTTACTTCAAGATGGAGTCGTGGCCAAGATCGCCGATGATTTATACTGCGGGGGCAACACCCCTCTAGAGTTACTACACAACTGGAAGAGGGTCCTGCAAGCTCTTCACAAATGCAACCTGCGTTTGTCAGCCCACAAGACCATAATCAACCCCAAGTCAACCACTATCCTTGGTTGGATTTGGTCCGCCGGTACCCTGTCTGCCAGTGCCCACCACCTCAACACCCTCGCCACGTACCCTGTGCCAAACACTGTTGGTCGTTTGAGATCGTTCATTGGTGCGTACAAAGTCCTGTCTCGTGTTATCCCACGGTGCTCTAGTTATCTAACCCCGCTGGATGCCGTCACGGCTGGACGTACTTCACAAGAATCCATCACCTGGTCTGATAGTCTCAGGGCTGCATTCCATAACGCTCAGAAGGCCCTATCCTCAGCCCTCTCTATCACCTTACCTAGACCTGAGGACCAACTATGGGTCGTCACCGATGGCGCGGTCAAGGACCCAGGAATAGGCGCCACCCTCTATGTGACGCGCAACAACAAGCTACACATCGCCGGTTTTTTCAGCGCTAAGCTGCGGGGCACTCAGACAACGTGGCTTCCGTGCGAAGTAGAAGCCCTCTCCATCGCTGCGGCTACAAAGCACTTCAGTCCATACCTCATCCAGTCATCCAATAAAGCCTGTATCCTAACGGACAGTAAGCCATGCGTCCAGGCTTATGAGAAGCTATGCCGCGGCGAGTTCTCCGCAAGTCCTCGCGTATCTACTTTCCTGTCAGTTGTCAGCCGCTACCAGGCCTCAGTGCGACACGTCTCCGGCGCCTCTATCCTCCAGTCAGACTTCGCGAGTCGAAATGCTGCTCCTTGTGAGAATGAAACCTGTCAGATTTGCCTGTTTATCGCCTCAACCAGAGATTCTGTCGTCCGAGCCGCGACTGTCCAGGACATCCTCCAAGGCAATGCCCGCCTCCCTTTCACCAGCCGTCCGGCCTGGTTGGCCATACAGTCTGAATGCCCAGACCTACGCCGCACGCACGCACACCTTGTCCAAGGCACAAGGCCTTCCAAGAAGCTCACAAACATAAAGGACGTCAAACGCTATTTGCAGGTCGCCTCAATCGCAAGTGATGGCCTGCTCGTCGTCCAACGTCATGATCCCTTGTCACCGACCAGAGAGTGTATCATTGTCCCTCGCCAGGCCTTGGATGGCCTCTTGACAGCCCTTCACATTCAGCTCAGCCACCCTTCTTGTCACCAGTTAAAAATGGTTGCCAAGCGTTATCTGTTCGCCCTCGACCTGGACAAGGCAGTCTCCCGTGTTTCCGATGGATGCCACTCCTGTGCAGCAATTCAGAGATCACCAACAGCACGAATTGACCAGTCCACTTCGCCTCCACCTGAAACTATTGGGCAGTCCTTTGCGGCAGATGTCATAAAACGTTCTCGCCAACTTATCTTTGTACTCCGTGAAACAGTGACCTCTTACACGTCCAGTCTCTTTCTTGAGAACGAACGCCACCAAACTTTGCGTGACGCCATTATAAAGCTTTGCGTGGAAATGCGCCCATTGGATGGTCCACCTGCTGTGATCCGCACCGACCCCGCTCCCGGATTCAAGGCCCTTGTCAACGATTCACTCTTACAGAAACACAGAATCACAATTGAGCTTGGCCATGCCAAAAATCCCAACAAGAACCCCGTTGCAGAGAGAGCAGTCCAGGAATTGGAGAATGAGCTGTTACGTCAGGAGCCTCTCGGTAGTTCTGTCTCTCCCCTCACCCTCGCCGTAGCCACTTCAGCCTTAAACTCACGTATCCGTTCAAGAGGGCTTTCCTCTCGAGAAATGTGGACCCAGCAGGATCAGTTCTCAAACAAGCAGTTACCCCTCGCAGATGACCACTTAATTTCCCTCCAGCATGAACAGCGTCTCTCCAACCATCCCCTCAGTGAACGTTCCAAAGCTCCTGGTCAGTCAAGGCGTCCTACCCCCCTGATCGATATTGGTGATCTTGTGTACCTTCATTCTGACCTCAACAAGTCTCGTGCTTGTGACCGCTATCTCGTTGTAGCCATTGATCCTCCATTCTGCAACATCAAAAAGTTCATTGGATCCCAGTTGCGAAGTTCATCGTACCATGTCAAGCTATCTGAGTGCTTCAAGGTCCCATCTGACTTGGGTGATCCCTTCCGTGCCTCTCCGACCCTACGCAAACACTACTCTGATTCCGACGACGAAGATGGTCCTACTACAACGACTCACCCTCCTCCCTCTTTGCCTGCCATCCCTGAGGCCATCGCAGCTTCCACACACCCACCAGTTGTCAACCCTCAGTCTTACAGTCCAGCCCCTGCCTCTCCCGTTGACCATACCATGGATGATTTCGCTACACAGTCGCCCTGCCCTGATCCTTCCCCAGTGGAGTATGCAGCCACCTCAGCGGTGCCTTCTCCGCCTGCCCTACGGAGATCATCGCGCACCCGCCGTCCTCCTTCTCGTTTTGCAGATTATGACACTGAACTTTGAACACCGATCTTTAAACTCTGAACTTTGACTCGCCCGCGCGTGTCAATTTGTTAGTTAGTCTTAAGTGTATGTTAAATTGCTTTTAGTTCTTGTTTCTCCTTAAAAAAAAAAAAAAAAAAAGAAGAAAGAAGTCACGCCAGTACCGGTCAGCGGTATCTGGGTTGAGCATGCCCTTTGGATGGCTTTCCTCCTCGTCGCGTCGGCCATATTGTTTGTTACTCGTTCGGAGTCTAGTTTCCCTGTTGCGATTAAAGCCTTTCATTATCTGGACGTGCCTTGGTTCATTGTGTTAACTCCCCTACTGGCGGAGACAGTTATGTTTTCTTATGTCATAAAGGCAAACAACAGTCCTCTAGAGAACCAGCAGTTCCAATTGCAAAGGGCAAGTGTAAATGTAAGTTTGTGCTACATCTCCTGGAATAAGCCAGAGTGGAACAATAGCCAATCAAGAAAGATCTAAAAGTTTGTCCCTCTGAATGTGCTTTCCATTCAATACCAACCTGTAACAACTGAGACTTGCTTGTTCCAGGATCGCCACAAAGGAGAATGTTGACCTCTGATCTAGAATTACACAAGTAGATAGACATACAGTTGGAAATGGTGGTTGAAGTGGCCTGATGCAGTGCACTAGAAAATGCAAGGACTGGGCCCAACCCCTCACCAGGACAGAAAACATTTCATTCTCACGGTGGCTCTCTTGACCCAAAGAGTCAAAAGAATATATATTGGTGGGTAGCACTACAAAGGAATAGTACCTGGTCCAGGGAGGAGGGGCAATGGTAATACTACTTGCTGCTTTGTGCTGCTGAAACTGCTTAAAGTAATTTTGTTATTGAAGAATCAAAATGTGCAAGATCAAGGTAAAGCTATGAACTAACCTGAACTTTCCTCTCCCAGTGTCAGCAAAATCTTTGTTTGCTCCTCCAAACAACTGACAGAGAATTCCCTTTTTGATATCTTCATTTTCATAAATGCTTGGGGCTACAAAATTAAAATTAGAAAATTAATTAGTTTCATTGTGTTATTAGAGTATGTAATGAATGTTCATCTCGTCAACATCACATGGAAAGAAAATCAGACAGAAGTTATAAACTCTGTTGTTACTAACCAAGGGCCTTGGCAAGTCTCTCATAAATATCAGGTTGTTTGGACAACTGCTGTAATTGCTCTACTCTCTCTTGTGAAAATGTAACAACTCTGAAATACAATCCAACAACAACCAACATAAGAGAAGGCAAGGGAAGAAGATTCAAACCAAGACACCCTTAACCCTCTAACTCCCAAGATCTGATTGTTAATTCTCCCTTCTAGCTGCTACACATTTCCTTGTAACTTAGCAATAAAAAATTGGCATTAGATCAAGATAACAACTTGTACTTGATAAGTTTGAGTGTTTTTATTACCTGTTTACAAGATAATTTATGGATATGGTAGGGAGAAATTACACTATAATCACTTCTGAGCGTTAAACGGTTAAAGGGTGAGATATATAATTTTCATATTAAACCAGTTCCTACCCATCAGGGTCTTTAGAATAAAGCCTTTTCTTGTCTGTTTTCTTGAAATGGATCACATCAATGTATGTCTTGTAAACAGCTTTCACATTTCTTTGACGTGGATTCACACGCATAGGGGTGGCTCTGTAAATTCCTGTCACTGTGACCCTAATAAGATTGTAGACCAATGGTAAAGCATGGGAATTGTGCAACAAAAATATATTCACTGAAAGATTGTCAAGCATGCAAAATAATTTCCTCATGTCACTACCTTCATGCTTGTGAATTTACTAACTAAAAGAATGACTTCAAACTGTAGCTGTAAACCAAAACATCAATATTTCAAGGCATACTTGTATAGAGGTTTCTTTATTGTTGGTGCACCTTCAAAACATTCACCAAGAGTTTCTAAAGCTGACATTTCAAACATTAGCCCTTCATCAGAGTGAAAAGAAGGCTCTGATCTGTCAAAGGGTTGACACTCAAAACTTCATGCGCTCTCTACAACTGCCAATTTACATTATCAACCTCCCCCTCTCCCCAACAATGCAGCACCACAATTTCTTCAGAAACTTACCACTTTTTATCAATTTAAAACACTCAGTCTGAAGTCATTCAAGGCTGTGTATTTCTACCTTACTGAACAAGTACTTCAGGATTTCTTTTAAGTTAGGGGTAATTATTTTCTGGGCAGAAAATGACAAGAGATACTGTGACATGGCTGTCTTTAAGAATCTATGCATAATGACTTAATTGCTCCTTTACAATGTACCTGTCTCCAGGCTGTACTGCATCCACCAGGTCATTGTGGGAGAACAACATGATAGTATGTGGAGTCTGTCCTGGGGGCATGTCATCTGAGAAAGAAAAATTGTGGCAGGGCTTAGAACATATTTGTAATCTAGGGCAAGAAATTGAGATGGCAATGGTGATCAAGTCCTTGTAAATGGTCTTAACAATCAGCAGGGGTTTTAAAACAAGCTGGCTATCACCAGAGTTCTGCTGGGTACTTGATAACATGTTGCCAGTTACTCTGGTCAATATAATTTCCTTCTGGTCCTAGACCCTATAACTCCCATGAGTGACCAAGACAGAATTTCTCCTTACAATATCAACCAGATAAGTGATGAGAATGGAGAAAAATATCAATTTGGGGATAATTAGTTAATCCAATACTTGATTCTCTGAACTAACATTACAAGAATTTTTTGGTTGACAGTAAGGAGAATAACAAATTTGATCTGGGAGTTAAAGGGTTGATGAACTTTTCACAATCACCTACATTTGCAGAGTCTGATGCCTTCTTCGAAACATTCTGAAACCCTGAATCAGCCCCCTGTGGATCAAAGGCTGGATAATGCTATAGATAAAGCTAAAATATGATTTCTTCACATATGTACAATTACAGACAAATAAATCAAGGAGCCTTAATTTACTTAAACAACAAGTAAATGTTTTTTTTTACCAGGGGATTCCTGTAGCTTGGTGATTTGTTTGTCAGTATACTGTGATCTGTTATGAATCAGGACCATACTGTGGTTTGTGTTACAATTACGACATAAGGCAGGTTCAGCAATGCGACCTCGATCAATTTCCACTGATACTGATGCATGGCAAACATAACACTGGAAGAAAGCTGAGGATCAGAAAACAAAGTCAAGAGTTAACAAAGAACTCTTCTGCAATGTCTTAATCAAGATACATGGAGGTTATGAAGTAGCTTTTGAGGAGATTTTGGATTCAAGAACCTCCAATTGGATTCTACCAGAGGAATTCAATTTAATTCAAGTTTTCTTTTCCCACCATGTTGTTCATGGGTGGTGCAACAGGAAAAAGTTGGTAAGCTGACACAGAGGACAAGAAAGAAATTAGGAAATAAAAAGTTTCATCTTTGTGCGAAAATTTTGAGTCTTTCTCACCTTCCCTCATCTCTGGTATCACCTGAGATGTCCTTATCACCATTCCACTGATTGTAATCAGTGTATCAATGTCTACATGAAAAAAGAATTAATATTTATAAAAAATTAATACAATGCAATATAAAACAACTAATTAATATGTATTGATTTAAAGATATATACATAAAATACTCCAAATCAATGTTTCCTTTTACCTTCAGGGTTAAGTGACCTCATATTCTTGGTTTTGTCAACATTAAAAGTTCTGACCTAAAAATGAAAATTAAATGAATTAATCTTTAAATGTGATGGTCATCAACATCAAAAAAATATTATGATAATAACGAATTCATAGTTAAAGATTTGTTTTGTCTTGTCAGAGGTGCAGGATGAAGAAAAAATTCTGAGTCCTCATGGGGACTCAGAATTTTTTCTTTGTCCACTGTAAGCTATAATTTACCATCTTTCTTACTCTGATAACAAATTCCATTTGCATTTTAAATATTAATTCACCTGGATTTGATGTTGCAACTGGGCATCAGGGTATTTTTCAAAGAACACCTCATTCACAGCCATATCAAAGGTAGGAATCACTTCTTGCGGATAACAGATCAATTGCCTGTATAAATCAGCATCAAATGTCTTCAGATGACCACAATCAATGTTCAAGAAAGGTGTCTCCAATACATGGATCTGCATGAAAATATTTTATGTTAGACAGTGCTAATCAACAGTTTTCAAACTAAATGAAATATGTAGAGAGGCTAGATTTTATCAAGGTACCATTGTAAATGTACTGTAATCTAACAACATAAAAGTGTATGAGAAGACTAGTTGCAAATGCCTACTTTGGCTTGCAAAAAGATGTTTTTGTTTTTTCATAATATGAAGTTCTTCAGGGCTTCAGCTTCAGGTAACAATACAGGTCTTTTTGTTGACCCTTGTGTTTGCATGTTAAGAAACAAATGAGAAGGTCCAGGAAACAAATGAGAAGGTCCAGATTCCAAATATTTCAAGATGACTCATCAAATAATCTATTTGTCACAGAAATAAAAAGGAGATCCAGATCACCATTTTAGTGGAGCTTTAAGAAAAAGCAACAGTTCACAAGGCCATAACAATAGTAATTACCTCATCAAGGCGTTGCAAGTAGACTGGCAAAAGGGGATCAAATCCCTCGCCCATATCCTCAGCATCTTCGTCAACAAAGTCACAGACAAATTTTCTGAATTTCTCCTTAGTGTCACTCACAACAACATCTGTTCCCCAGATGACCAATGCAGGAGCTGTGGCAACATCACTAGTAGGTCCAGTTGGCTGATCAGTGGTATCAGACGGCTAAGAGACAAAAAAAAATTTTATTTTATTTGAACCCTAGAAAAAGGGAACAAGAATGCATATCTCAACCTATAAAATTGGTGTAAGTTACTTACTGGTTGATTTTCTCCCAGATTAACTTGACGCAATCGCCTGTCACTGCGAATATCACTACGATGTCGGATTGGTGTACCAGCTCTGATCTTTAGTTAAGGAAACTGAGACTATCAATGGTTTCATGTAGGTTCAATCAAACTCAGATTATTCTCTGCAGCTGCATACTTGGGCTGTTGGTCAGCCTGTTGTTCACGATTACTGGCATTGTGCTAGCATACAATATTGCTAAATTGACCTTGAATCACAGCAAATAATAGGCTCACAAGGAATTCTCAAATTCATTTGGAAAAGCACAGAATTTGGACAAAACTATATTCTCAAATGTGGACTCAAAGCTAACAAGCTTTTAAACAAAAAGTAGCTAATTTAAAAAGTTCTAATAATTACAGTTTCTGTTTATTCATCTTATGAAAAATTGTTAACAATTTACCAAATGTTCTTCCATTTTTCCTATATAATGTGCCCTTCTTCAAATTCTATATTCTACCAGGAGGCTTGGTGTTATAAAATATGTTACTTCCAATACTTGATACACTGGTGCAATTTTATTTTACAATTCAAGCTAAGTATCCTAAGCAAAAATTCATCAGATCCCATTCCCCTTATTCAACTTCTTTTAGTTATTTCTGTTAAAAACCACACGGCATGATCATGCAAATTTTAAACACAAATGCAAATACTTCTATTAGAGGATACAGACTACCAGCTGGGGTACCACCAGCTCTTGAACTTGGCGTAGCATAGTTAAGAGGTGAGCTAAGGTCAATTTCACTTGTCTCCAGCCCTCCTCTGGTTTGAGGTGATGAGAACAGTCCAGATTGATCAGGATCAGGCTGCCCCTCAGATGGTGAGGTAGGTGCTAATGGGAGAGGGGATGACGGTTCATCTACTCGTCGTCGTTGAGATGGGGGTGACACTGCAGGAGCAGCTGTTGGAGATGTTGCCCTTGAGCCCCTGCGGTTGCTGCGAGTACTACGCGTACTGGTTGTAGAAGCATCAGATGCTACATGAACAGAAAATTACGACATCAAAACTGAGGGATCAAACTTTCTCAGTTTATCCTTTCTTGATGGAATACTGCTCTCGCATCAACAAGCACTCGGTTGACTTTCATGGGTCTTAGTTAAAGCCTTGGTAATTAATACAGAGCGAACTTGAATTGTGCCGATTGCTGGCGGCGTGGTGAGAAGGAAATGACCAATGCAAGGCATCAGGAACCACTTCTTACGATTCGGTTCCGAGATAATACGTTAATAAAACTTAGCGAGAAAAAAATGGCTATTGACACCAGCATGTGCCGAATAATGGCTTAGAAAAATAAGCTGACAAAATCGTAAAACATTTATCCATCGGAGCTCGGCATAATTAATCATAAATGTGCAAAAAAGGTTACATATTTCTTTCATCCTTCCCTGATGCATGATCAACCTACGTCAATGAGTTTCTTTTTTTTCAGGTATTCATTCAAGATGAAAAGGTAATCAAATTTATCCACATATTGACGAGCAAAGTTCCAAGAGGTTGACATCGGTCAAGGTAATTTCGATGGACCCGAGTGCAAAACAGATCGACACTTTTTCGACGTAAAAATTGAATGAGAGAAAGCATGATGTAAAATCAGGGCAGAGAAATCAACAAAGGAAATAATAATAACATTAATAAGGATATACTCACGCGGAGGGCTTCCTCTAGAGCGCTTTCTTCCTCTCGGTGTAGAAGGTGCAGACATTTTGATTCTCTTCTTCCAACACGAACAACAGACTCACGTGTGAAAAAGCGCGGGAAATATATCAGGTGACCAAAATGCGCGCAGGGAATTCTGGATGTTGACAAGAGTACATTCTCGATCACTACCACGGAACAATCGCTCCCAGACAAGGACAACAAGACCACCTTAAACTTTAAAATTTTATTGATCGTATAAATAAAACAATTTATAAAATACATCAGGGAACTCTAAATCCCCTCTTAATAAATGATATTAATATAACATCTCTTTCAAAATTCAAATATTTCTTTGTCTTTGGTCATTTGTCACCTGACCTTTTCCAAGAGGATCCCAACGAAACAAATTAAGCTTTTTTTTTGGCTGACATACATGCGAGCCTATCAGCTGATTCAATGAAGTTTCTTCTATATTTTCTTCCATTTTATGTTACCGATCTCCAAAAACCTGGAAGATCTATGTGTACCCTTAACCCTTTAACTCCCATAAGTGACCAAGACAGAATTTCTCCTCGTGTTATCAAAACAGTATCAAGCAGACCAGTGTTGAGAATAAAGAAACATATCGATTAGGGGATCATTAATTGATCCCATACCAAATTCTCCAAACTAACATGATTGGAATTGTATGGCAGACAGTAAAAAGAATTACTGATGAGATCCTAGAGAAAGGGTTTAAAAACAAACAAACAAACAAACAAACAACCTAACAAACAAATTGCCATTATTTGAAATGTGTCTTAAATACATTTGGAAATAAAAATTAATCTGCATTCTTCTAAAAAATATCCATATACATTTGATTCGTAATTCCCATGATGGAATTGGTTCACTAATTTTTTAAAAATTCACAAATTTATTCAGGCTCCTCGTGGGGTGGTTGGGTCTCGTCCGGTTTGTCGTCCTTGAGCCAGTAATGAAACTTGCCATCGATGAGGTGCTTAAATTTCCGCATAACAACATGCCCAACACTCGTAACTTGTTCTGGTATAACCTTATCGCCATGAAATACAGCAACAAAATAAGAAAATGAGAATTTACAACTTAACAATATGTATTCCTCTGATAAGTATAACCGCGTTAAATGTTTCCTACAAAACGATGTAAATTAAGAAAAAAATAAAGAATAAGAGAGGATTGAAAAGGGAAATTCTTCCGTTTTATAGATGTTCGAAATGCGAACTAAGACTAAGAGCGTTTCCTTGTTCCTAAGTCTGAGTGTAACGATTCGTTTGAAGCATTTCTGTCAATGATCGAGATAAAAGGACAGGAGAACATACGCCAAGTCGGAAACTTACGAAACTCGGCAATTTTTGCGCTAAGAAAGCGCTCAGATGAGGCCGATTGGAACCAATTTCCACAGCGTCATAGAGGAAAATAAAGGGATTTTGGATGAATCATAGACAGCCTGGCCCAGAACATCGTAGGCTGAATGATTTTCTTATAAAGCACTATAAAGCCAATTTTGTTCAGTGTGGAAGGTTCAGTTGTCTGAGATCAGTCAACTTAAATATACCATGACCTACGTTAGTGAGGAAATAGCACCGCTCGACCCAGTATTGGCTCAAAGTTGATACACTGAAAAAAAGACAACACTTTCTTGTCAGGTTCGTCGCCTACCTCGACTTCAAACTCTTCTGTCCCAAGCTTAAGTATCCCTCTGTAAAGAGGTTTGTTTGCTGTCGAGTAGGGTCCCCTACTGTCGACGTTCCTGAGGTATTCTAACTGTAAACTCTGAATGAGGCTCTCGGTGGCAGTGACAACATCACTACCGGAATCCACAATGAACTCGGTCAGCTCTGATGAGCGGGCATCTTGAGGTAAAGGACACAGCAAAAATGTTAGGGAGACACATATTTGTATTTCATCAGTAGACGTAAGAATTGCAGAAATGTCTTATTTGCCAGATTTGGCAGGAAAAAAGCTGTGTAAATGTGCGCTATAGAGTAGACAGATCATACACAATACTCTTCTTTCTATCAATGTTGTGAATTAAATTACCTAAATTTAAGATCGAGCAGACTGCACACTGAGAAAGCCTTCAGTTAAAATTTGGCCATTTTCGAATAGAATGAGCATCTATCTGACTGATAAGCTGATACATGGTCTACGAAATAGACATACAGTCTGACTGGCTGAGAGATCAGTGTGTTGACTGACTAACCAACTAGCCAACTGACCAAGTTACTTTGTGTCTAACTTACTGCCAGTGCATGAGTAATGAGTGACTTACAGACTAGTTTGCTAACTGAAAGACTGGCAAGCTAATTTACTGACGTATGAAAATACTATTTGAAAAAATGATTGATTTCTTAATTGACTTTTGAGTGACTCTGTGACTTATCGACAGGTTGACTATAGCTGAAAGACCACAACACCAGCTAACTAATTAGCCAGCAAATTGAAGGACTGACCAACTCAATACTTAATGGCCACTTCTTAACGGCTAACAACCTGAGAACAGACTCATTGACTTACAACCCAAGTCAATCAAAAGTAAATAAGTAATTACAGAACATGCTTAGCAGTTTAACTAATTAGATTGCAGCTCATGTAGTTTGGAAAATTTGAAGCTAGGCTAAGCAGTTTGAAGCAAAGAAAAGAAACTCCAATAACTACACAAATAGGTCTATGTATTGCATCATCACTGATACACCTGCATACATACCTTCTCCAGTGTCAGATTTAAGGTGTCCTTGCACACACAGAAAAGGGTGTGGATTGTCTTTAAGGCCTGGTGGCTGTCCCCAGTAACCCAGGACAACCACTCTAGTATCAGGTTCCTTTGCTGAATGCCACTTGAGGAAGGTTGCTGGTGGATAAGAGGTAAAAAGAAAAAACGTGATCGTAGAAGCGAATGAGCCTCTTAACAAGGCATCTTGTTCATAATGAAAATTTGACCTCATATGCTTTCCATTTGTATTCTGTCTTAATCTCCTCTATCTTAAGCCATTCCTTTGGTTAATACTTTGCCTTTTGGCTTTTCCCTGCTCCTTCAAACTATTGTGTCAATCAATGACAAGTCCCAATGACTCCCCTTAATAATCCAAAAACTTTGAAATCAGCTCAGATAATCATGACCAAGTTCTTTTAATTTTTGACCAACAGGAAGAGGAGCTCACAAAACTAAAATTACATCTCATTGGTAGGTAAAACTAATACATGTTATAGAGCTAATATTATTTAATTGATTGTATTCTCTTTATTGAGTTCACTATGATTTTTCTATAGTTTACAGTTTGCCGACTGTAAACTGTATGGTCTTGACGAGAACTAAAATAAAAGTTGCCCACACTTGGAAATGCAATTGCACAATGCCAGCTAACATAGATGACTAGAAGTTTTGGTAAAGAAAATTTGGTAACGCAAAAATATCCCACTTTTCCACATAACACACCGATATTACGGGAATATAAAGTTCTTAGAAAAAAAGGAAAATATTTTGGATCACCGGTGACTGATTTTACAGACATAGAATTCAAACGGTGGAACGGATTGGTTACAAAATACACGTCAGCTTAGAGTCATATTTTTAGGTCTGTAGAGTACTATCGAAAATTACAAGTTTATTCTTTGACGCGCTGAAGACTTTTGGGGCACTATGAATCGATAAAACCGAAAGACTGTGTGGCATATTGTGGAAATACCCCTAGCATTCTGATGAAAGATTCCAACAAACATAGCACTGGCTTTTCTAAACCATTATATGAGAGGTCTGTGAGAGGGCGATTCGTCTCGAGTTCAATACACTCCTACATCCCCTTTCAAGATAGACTTCATTTACGTTTATTAAATAAACTTTTCGTAGAATGAAGATATAAAAGAAATTGAAAGAAAACGGCTCAGAGCTTTGCCATAGCAAGCCATTTAATAATGCCCAAAACGAAACATCAAATCTGGCATCTAGAAAAATAATGTGCCTTCATGATCCCTTTCCTCAACTGAAAATTTGCGCGCACAGATTTTGAACGTAACACAGCCCTTAGACTAACAAACTTTATGCTTATCCGTATTTAGTGAGACGAAGAGAAAAAACCAGGATTAGCAGCAGTACTGCAAAACAGATGATAAGAAAACTGTTGGCTGATTTTCAGTTTGGAGGTACTAAACTCTGATCACAAAAATTAACGGTTCCATAGCGGTATTTGTTCGCGACCGAGCTGTTCATTTTTATAAGTTACTGTGCTGTTTAATTGCCCCTTACAAACGAAACACGGTTCCTTCACTTATTAAATTCAAATTAGAACCCCGGTTGATCCAAAAAATACAAAGTTTTCAGAGAAAAAAAAACCGGGCTCTTCAGGATTGATCCAACGACAGCGGCGCCAAAGAGACACTCTTCAGTCCCGTATGAAATCACAAATCAATAAATCTTTTGCAGTTGGACTTTTAAAACGTTATCTCTTTTCAATCCATGAAGGTATTATTCCAGATGTTTAACCCGACGTTCGAAATATAATTTGGCAATGTAGCACGATCTTTTTTATTGGAATATCTTAACATACCACTCTTGGAACTGCTGCAACAACGATAGGTTTGACATAGGATATAGGAACACCTCGCGATTTCTTGCGTTGAAATGATCTCTTTTGAAATTTATCTGCAACCTCGACGTTTTTCAACGACGAATGCAGTTAATGCTCTTAAAAAAAAAAAAAAAAAAAACGAAAGGGCCCTTTAAGGGGGTCCCCCTTCAAGCCATTTTGTGGAAAAGTAAAAACGTTACCGATCAAGCGTTTAGCGGGGTAATATCCCTTCAAATGAAACTGCTTCTATAGGTGGAAATGTTCCTGCCGAATAATAAACAAATCGTCCATAGAAAAAAGTAAGAAAAATGTAGCTCGCTCTTTAAGTGCCAGCTAATTAGTTATTTTCTCGACGAGGAAGGTCGTCTGCGTCAATGAACTAAAAACAGGATTATATTCAGATCGAAAGTGATCAGGCATTGCTAACGTTTCACCTCCAATCCACTATAAGCAAACAAATATAATTTCGATCTTCATTTTAGTGATATAAATCTGTTCAAGAGTGAGCTAGTTCAAAGTTCCTACCTGCACTTTTAACCCTTTTTCTGTGCCCTGGGATCATGATCTCTAATGAGTCTAAGAGCTCGTCACTCCATTCCCTGGATTTTACATCCCTTATGGTGATGATTCCCTCAGCTCTCAACCTCTCCATGTAACAACTTTCATGATCTAAATCAAGATGTTGTAGCCAGTCTGCGACATCTATGAGAGAAGCTGGAGATTGGAAAATATATATGCATTGTGAGTTAAAAGATAATAGAGAAAAAAGTTTGTAATTAAAACGGAAACAATTGTGAAATTGGTGACTTGAAACAATAGATAGCTTATCTTCTAAGATAGATTCTCATCCGTCTCAAAAAAGGAATAAATCGGAAACTAAATAGGACGAGTGGCACGAATCCGATCTCACGGTGCTCTAACATCACGTAGGGTAAACAAAAAATATGGAGAAATGTACTTACCGGCGTCTAAGATCTTGAACCTATCGTCTCGTTCTCGTATACTCAGAGAATCCAAGTCTTCTTCGTCGAGTATACATAAGTCAATGATCCTATCATAACCTTGAGTTAAAAATCTTGTTCCGTATCTTTCAAGGCCAATTTTCTCCAAAAAATTCTCGACTGCATTTCTCGAGGCCATCACAGTCTGCATTACTCTCTTGTTGAATAAAATTCACTTTGATTCCTAGCGCGTTATGGCTGGAAAAAACATTCTGTTGTTGATTGGTTTTCTATAATTGATAATTGTCTCTGATTGGTTATTTGTAATGGATTATTCCCGCGAGGGAAATTTTTTGTCACGAAGTCTTCGAGGGACGCTCTGCTTGTTTGAACTTGCCCTGATCTAAATTCCCCGATCTATTGTTCTTTAACGTGACGTCAGTGAAATATTGATATCCATGATGGCGGCTAATGAGTGCGTTCTGTTTCTGTTCAAACGTGCCTGATCAGGTTATTTCCCGTCTGAAGTCGAGATAATTCTAACATTCCTTGACAGTGAAATGGTAAGTTTTTATATTGTGTTTGCTTTCAGTTCAACTTTATCATTAATTTGGACTTGATTTTTCGGGCTTTTTTGCCACGACTAGGAATAATTTGTTGTTTCTTTCGGTACTTTCGATAAAAAAAAAATAAGCATAAGCTGCTGGGAAATAACCATAAACAAACGATTATAAACATGTTAGTTTTGTCGATCGGTGGGTGCAATAGATTAATACAGGCAGCTTATAATCTTTAATTATTTGAGCTTAACACCTAATTATTGGATTTTCAAACTTTTAGGCCTTGTGTAAACATGAAAAATAATCTTATTGGAAAATCTGGATTTTTACTTTGAACAATAAACAAATCCCCTAATTATAATTTGCTTATCTAGCAAAATGCATTTTTGTCAAATGTTGTCAAATCAACCATCTGAAATGTGTTTGAAAACTTAAAGACGTTGGTTAACTCCTCACGACATAATACACTCATTCGATCACACAAAATGAACTGGAGCGAAAACAAACGTTTTTATAGTCTACACCAAAGTAGTTTTTCGTTTGTAATTGATATCTGCACAAATATAGAATTTTTTTGGGTGAAAAAGGGGAAAAAAGAAATTGAAAGTGCTAGCTTGCTGTTTTAACAACGCAATTGTAACGCAATTCTTTTACAGAATAAAAGGGGAAAGTTTCTGAAGAAACTGTGGTGCCGTGTCGGTGGGAGAGCATGACAGGGTAATTAAGTATTATCAACTGAGTTTATAATGTGAATTTTGGGTCCATTTGCTCTAACGAAGGGTTAATGCTTGAAACGTCAGCTTTGAAGCCAATCTACATTATTCACTCAGTCGGTAATACTAAATTACCCTCTTTTACAGAATGCTGACATTTAAAAGCAAGGTGTATTCTTTGTCACAATCTACCTATTAGTTTATGTGATTGTAATATATATGTGGAGGTTCAGACTGAATATAGTTCAGAATTGCTTTACTTAACCTAATTTTGTTTGTTTTTTCCCTTATCCTTGACCATATGTTTTTATTTGTTTAAAAATGAAGAAAGATTAATGCTCCTAACCACAGTACATGCAGTTTCAGGGATTTTCAATGAAAATTTGCATGAGTGGCAAATCATCATCCTCCACACCAAGGGAGGTTGAGGGTATGCTTCCTTCAGAAATTGGAAATTCTAATCTGTTGCAGATGTATTTTTCTTCATGAAGAGGTCTTCTTATATATATAATTGCTTGGTCATTCTCAAAGAAAACCTATTTGTACAATTTTGAAGATAATTATGTCATAATCAATGCAAGGATGTTTGTGTGTTTAACCAAATACTACAGCCAATCATGATGATGTCTATGTATGTTTGTGACCACTTTGGTTTTGGTTTTGTTATACTTAATCAATCAAAATATACTCTTGTGCAATTTATGATGAAAATGTTTAACAGAGGATTTTGTTGGTTACTTGTGAAACTTACAGTGCATATCATGTCTGTAAGAAAAATGGAGAACCAATTTTACCCTTTGACCACTAACAGTGACTAGCATCTAAATTCTTCGTACAATATCACCCCTGAATCAATCATACAGGTCTTGAGAATGAAGGAACTGATCTTCAACTAAACAAGCCTTTGGTTTTTTTCAAACAAATTCTCCTTTTCAGAACCTTAGGAAATGTGTAGAGAATGGTATCAAGAATATGTATCCTGATCAATGTTAGGGTGTTAAAGGGTTAAAAGGTAATGCATGTGAAATTTGCTTTCCTATACAGATCTCCCTCACTCAAGAACAATGTGTAATTCACTGATATGGCAATGGCAATGGCTTGCACAAAAGTTGGAGCAGTAAAGCACACAAGAGGTCTGTGAGGGGGCGAACCTTCTAAGATCTCTTACCAGGTCATTGCACCCTTTCCATAGCTATAATGAGAGCCAGATTTTGGGCCAGTACATGCTTTCAGATACACATTGTTTTGTTATTGTCTTGTGCGTGTACTCAGCAGTAAGAATCCCTTAATTCTTTCTAAATAGGTCATTCTTAGAATAAGGTGGAAGCCAAATGCAAAAATAAGTCTGCTGTACAAGTTGAACTTTGGAATGTCTTGGTAAATATCTATGTGACGCTAATCAAGGCTCTTTCATTCTTGATTTCTTTTGCAAATGGTCTCAAACATTTATTTCTGTCTTTTTCAAAACTTAGAAAGCTTGAGTTTAACACAAATGCCTTCAAATTGCTGTGTGGTTATACCACAAGTGAAGATTGATGAGGCAATGAATTAACTAATTCCTGAATACAAGATCTTTGAAATGGGCATCCTTTTAGGTTATGAGAGTTTGTGTTAAGTGACATGAAATGTTTCACCTGAAGCTTATCATAAAGTGAGAGGAGCTATAGAAAATATAACCACTAGTAAAGTTACAATATCTACATGTAATATAAAGGAACTCAAAGCCTAAAAAATTCCTTGGAAGATAGATATGAAGTGTTCCCTTATTGACAAATGGTTTTCTTTCTAAAAGCAATTTTCTCATGTCAGTCATTGATTGACTGTTTACTCTACTTTTGGTTTGTTTCTTCACTCAGGAGATGTTGTTACATGATTATCAATTACATGCAGATGCTTTTTTTTTCATCTTGAAATTAGTTATTGTCTAACATTTACTAAAAGTTTGACAACGTATTTAAGAACACTTGTTTATCCTCTTCCATTTGTACCACACCATTGCAAATTACTTCTAAAAAAGGTTTTGCTGATCAAAATGCTTAGACCTTGATTAATGTTCTTGTGACCTTGATAAATTAAGTTATCCTGCATATTAGTTCTATGGAAATTTCTCAAAATGACAGCTTTCAGTTAGTATATGTGCTATGAATTCAAGCAGGAGATCCTCAGATATGAAGCTTTTCCACAATAGATCTACAAGTTATATTTCCCTCTGCATGCATAATGTTGTATATAGTTTTATAAATAATATTGGAATTGTAATAAAGCATATTTTATTTTATTTTAACTTATTTTCTCGAAGATATTAGCTCTGCAGCTACACTGTGAATTTCAAGCATAAATAAAGTGTATGTATGTATGTATGTATGTATGTATGTATGTATATGACTAGTCAATTTAGTGTGCCATATTTCACTGTACAGCTGGTTAGATTTAGAAGTTTTTTTTAATTAAAATCATCCCCTTACATTTGAACATAGAGATATAATAAATATATTACTTACCTCATTTTTTTGATGTGTGCTGTTAGTTATGGAACTTATTTCTTCTACTTTGCCCTTTGGCTATAAATCCAAATGGGAAAAGCTAGACCCACAACTTACAGTATAGACCTTGAACTTGGTTAGTAAGAGGTGTATGATTTTTATTGTCAACATCTTAAGTTCACAAAGAAAATAAAATTTTCAGCCAATAGGACAAGATGTGCCACATACAGGGCTTTTATGTTTTACAATGAGGTAAAGAAAGACCTTGGCCATAATTGTCTGATATTTTTTAACTGTTCAGCTGTTAGTTTATTTGACTTTTGAATAAACATTTTATTGAAACTTTACTTTTTTCTATTGTTATTGCACGCATGGTTTACTTTTAGTGCCCCAGCTAATGCTGTTATATATTGGAAGAAGATGGCAAATGGTTCAAGTTCTCATTACTTTATTGAATAATTGAGATACCATGATCATGAGGTAGCTCTTAGGAGCCTTTGATTAGTTTTATGTGGCTTGTGGAAAATCCAAACTCTCTTAACCCTTTAACTCCCACAAGTGATTGAGAGGTAACTTCTCCCCATAATATCTATACACTATCTAGCAAACAGGTAATGAGAATACTTAAACTTATCACGTAGAAGTTGTTTTCCTTGATCTAACACCAAATTCTCCGAACCAATTGAGAAGGAAATGTGTAGCAGCTAGAGGGGAGAATTAACAATCAGATCTTGGGAGTTGAAGGGTTAAAAGATAGCAGGGCTAAAAATTGGCGGTCGCACGGTCGCCAGTGGCGAGTTAAAACTGACCAGGGCCACCAAAAGTTGAGGTTTGAATGCCCGATGTGCGACAATGCTGCAGAATTTCGAAAAGTTGCAATGTAAATTATGCAAAGTACAAAGTTAAAAATAAAACTCAATATGTAATTTAATTGGACTACCGTTCTCTTCGTTCCTTTGCCTGGACTCTAAGATTATCCATTTTAGTAAATTTTTAGTTCTGAAGTGGAAATTCCGAGCCGTTTTAACTGTGATTTCACGAGCGATCCACATTCACAACATATAGACGCCATTTGATTTTGTGATTGCCACGTGACTCTGGACTTTTGCGTTCTTTCCCTTTAATAAACGCTCTGTTAAAAGCCATGGGGCGTTTATTCAACTTTTTTATTTTAAACTAGAGAAAATGGATGGCTACTTCATTTTGGGATGGGCCACTAAGAATTCAAGGAAACTGGCCCGACTGGTCACCCAGCGCTGGAGTTAAGTTTTAGCCCTGAGATAGGCCAACTTCCTGACTCCTGGGCTTTCTCGACTCAATCAATGCAAGGCTGTGAAGAGTTATGACAGAAAGGTTTATATTATTCCTCCCTACGAGTTAGATTTTATCATTTGAGTGAAGCTTCTTGACCTGAACAAAATTGCTCAGTAGTTAAAGTTTTTAAAGAAAAATCAAAGATAGCGGGATGTATGTCTCAATT